TATCAAAAATAATATAAAGAGCATATAAATAGTATAAATTTAACATTAATTAAAAATAATTTAAAGAGTATATCTCTTACTTAATATAAAATATTTAAATTTTTCTGAAATACTAATAGTTTAGTATTAATTGTTTCTAGATCATTTTCAAAGTCAGTAATTAAATGTAAAGAATATGCCGAGTATATCTCTGTCTAAAATAATATATTTAAACTTTTTTAAATAACTAGCTGATTGATTTGTATATTAAATAAAAAATTTTTTTTAATTAATTATATTTTCCAGTTAATGAAAATCCAGTATTAACTGATGAATACTTGCAAACCTACAATGCCGAAATATTGGTCGGTCCCATTGAACTTTCCTCATGTATTGACCTGTGCGATCAGGGTGGTGTAATGACATTAACCTCACCGAAACTATTTAAAACTCGTACACGAAACTTTTTATTGCATTTACGAACTATGTCAGATCAAAGTAAGGATGGTCAAGCTAAAACACGTGGTAATAATTAAAAAATATTTTAATTAAATATACATAATAAATATACTGCTATTATTGTTTGTTTATAGGATGCGATTGGTTACACGAAATATCTATATCTGTACGTGGTGTAAAGACAATAAATATACCTAATGAACGTACACAACGAATTGCAATGCTTGAAAGTAAACTGCTATTAGAGAATTTATTTTTGATTATAAGTTCTACTGAAACTTCGAGGCTAGAAAAAAATCTTGCTTTAGATATATTGATATGGATTTGTTTTATACGCTTGAATCGTTATCGTTCCTCGAAGTCTGAAAGTATGAAAGCACAGTTGAATAAAAATGTGCAACATTATAATGTGGATCTTGTAGCACAACAAATTGAATGTATTTCTATAGCTGAAAAGTACATACACAGTATCATTCGTAACTGTATCATTCATAGCGATCGTTCGATCGCTCACAAATGTGTGAAAGTAATAATTATATTAACAGAGTAAGTATATTATAATATTACTTATCGTAAAAAAATAAGAACTCATAAAATTTTGTTGCACACTGCAGAGACAGTCTTTCTGTATATGTATATATATATATATGTGTTATTATATATTTTACATCGCCTAACGGCACAAAAATCATACTATAAATGAAGTGTTAATCAATTGTAAGGATGTAAAACATTTAAATTTGTATTTTTGATTTTCAGTGGGATAGGTAACATGCCTAGTGAACTTCAGAATGAACTTAATTTGAGCGTTGCTGTTAAAACGGCTATATCATCCACATTCAAGGAGTTGCCACTTTCAAAACATGCGAGTGTTGTACATTGGTTTACAACATTGGTTTGTGCCACATCTACTGCTGATTCGCATAACGAAATTTCTGAATTATGCATAAAGTTGTTAACCAAGATATCTGCAGAAATTTCGCAGCGTTGGGATCCGTATGGTGCATTACTAGGAACCAGGTAAGTTATATATGAAATTGGTTTTTCAAATTTATAACATTATTTATAACAGATTTGGCATGTATGGTTTTCCATTTGAGCCCGAAATTTTCGATTATGAGTTACCAAGCATGAACAAGAATACCGCACCAATTCCTTCAACCTTTTTAAGCATCATGCGACAAAATGCAGGTGCAATGCAAACAGCTGGTATGGATATTAAAAAGCTCTGTTCAATTGGTATTTATATATAGTTTAAAAAATTTTATGAATATATATTAATATATATATATTTAAAATAAACAAAATAGATAGCGTAGATTTTCGAACATTCCCACATTTGATAAAATGTAAAAGTGTGAGCAACCAATTGCGAGGCTTATTAGAGGTAGAACAGTTGCATTTTTCTTGTGCTGCAACATCTGAAGCTACTCGCATAGATAATTTGGATTCAATTTCAACTGGCAATGGGTCGAGTATAAATGTGGAAGATATTATTATGGGACCAATGCAATCTGTTTCCGTAGATGTTTTAAAGGATCCCGATATTGATAAGGTATACAAAACATAGATTATATGAAATGATCAACTGTTAGTTGTTTTTCTTTAAAGATACACGACATTGTTAATAATGTCCAAAATATTATTGTTGATAAACATCTTAAATTAAAGAAACCCAAAGAAGTTGAACAAAAAGCCAATGGCGTTTCTCGTAAGTTCACTTTTAAAAAAAAAAAGTAATTAAAAAGTACTCCTTATTGATAAAATTTTTTTATTTAGACTTTGAGCATTTGCCGCATTTATCATCGAAATACAATTCTATGTTGCCAAAATTCAAAGCAATTTGCAAATACATTGAGCTATGTGATGACACAACTAAAAATTCCGCTAGCAATAAAGCGGAACTTTTTAAAGAAAAAGCAATATCAGCCCAAGCTAAATTATCAGCTTTGGAGGATGCCCTCACAAAGTTAGATGAAACTCAAACAACAGTTAAAGATGTGCTTAAAATGCATAATAATAATGGAGAACAACGCATAACGCAAAAACAAAGTGCACAACTACCTCATGTGAACAAGGAAAATATTACAACTAATGTCTTCTCTTGGCATAAATTGCTTTTGCCTCCGCCGAAACAAATGATTGTTATCGATCGTATGCACTCTGGCGCTCGCCGATTTGTTGTGCTAGACTTCGGCGCGCATATCCTATTAACCGATTTAGTAATACCAGCTTGTGATGAGCTCGCATCGCTACACATAGATATTTGGTGTTTTGATGAAGAAACTGACAGTGTGCGTTTGACAGTAACACATGATATCGGCACTAAGACATTAGTTTTGACTGATTTACAACCACCGCCAATATGTCGTTTCATGAAAATCACCATTATTGGTCGCATTGGCATGTCATCCACAAAATGTAAGATACCGATAGGTTCATTTTATGGTCATACTGTTGTGTTAGATAGTGATTGCTATGGTGATACAGTATTGAAGAAAGTTACGCGCCAACCACAAAATTTACAAGCTCAGATAAAGGCATTGACTTCTTTGTATGAAGATGTACACTGTCGTTATAGCTTAGCGAGTTGTAAATTATTGGAACTGTTATCACCTGTGCTAAATTGCGAAATATCAAATGTTGCTCACATGCAGGCTTTTATTAATAAGCAGCATGAGACAGAGGCAAATGTGGTGGATAATTTAAAAATCATTAATTTGTACGAAGTAAGTTAATGAAATATAAATATTTTTATAATTTTTATTAATGATTTTAATCCCAACAGGAATGTATTATGCTACAACATCAAATTAATGTTATACGTAATGTTATCAATCGTTTCGACACTTCCTTGTCAAAAGTCAATCCAATTATGACTGCACGTGACGATATATTACAGTTAACATCACGAGATAAATTGCGTGTTCTGAGCCAAAGCCTAGTAGAAATATTATTGCATTTTTCTATTGAATTTGGATTTAAGGTAAAACGAATAATGCTGTACACGCTCAATTATAAACAATACGTAGTAAAAAAAAATGCCTCGCGAATGTTTATATTTCGTACGATTTTAAATGACTACAGATGTAATTCACATGTTTACCCAGATGTATTCGCATTGTAATTCGTTTCATATTTCGTTGAGTTAGCAACTATTATATCCATATGTTATTAAAATGCCTTACAAATTTGAAATGGTCTTTAGTGAATAAGTATATGAAAAATTAAAACACGAAGTGTGTTCACGAGTTCATATAATCTACAAATGTAATGCTTTAATTCCAGTAAAGAAGAACATTGATGCAACATGAAAATTTTTAGTAAAACCGGGTTCAGCTATTTTTAGTAACAAATGTTTTGTTGTTGAGGGACTTTACTTATGTTAATGTAATGGAATATATCACTAATGTAAAAGAACTTATTGTACAACAATAAACTATTATCATAAGATAACTAACGATAAACAGTACGCAATATAAACTTACATATATATTATATAAATTAAATTAAAATTAAAAACAAATGTTAATAACTTCATTACTGTTAGTATATTATGATATTTATTTGCTTTTTTTTTTGTTAAAATTGTAGAATATATTACCAGTACATCAATTATTTACAATTGACGTTGCCAATATGTTATTTAATTCTTTGGTCGTCTATGGAGACGCACACATACAATTAGCTACTTGTTCTTTGTTGGTACGGATGTGTTGCTTCCAAAGTTGGTGGGGTGACTTTTTGGCGGATATTTTCTGTAATTTATTTTCGTCTCAAAATAGTAAAATATTTCCACAAGATCGGTTAGTATATATTGTATATATTGTTTTAAATGTAAAATTATCAATTGTATTTCGTTTTAGAATATTTTTCCTACTAACATATTTGGGTAGACGAAGCATTGCCATGGGATCATGTCGCTCAATAGTAATTGATGCAATACTAAAAACATTAGCTAAATTATTAGCACCAATATCACCACGTTATCAACAAACTTATGATAACGCTGATCGATACAAAGATAATTCCGGAAATTTATGGTTGAAATCTGATTTACAACTAATTACATGGTTGTTGTTATTTTTGTCAGTTTGCTTAGATGATAATAACGATCATAAAGATAAATGTAAGCAAATATATTATTTTTATTATTATATATTGTTATTATATAATAATTTTATTCAGCTACAAATCGTTGGGATTTCATGAGCTGTGAATCTGATTTTACAAAGTCGCGTACACAATCATCTAACACACAAAATAAACAATTACGTTGTTTTAAGAAACGCATTATACAGAATAAATATAGTGTTCAACCTTACACTGATTGGGGAAAAAAGATATATATGATACAAAATGAGGTAGACAATAAATTTTAAAAATATTCATATACATATACATATCTAATCAAATATATTTATGTTATAGCATCCAAATATATTAATGGAATTAGCGGGAAAACCAAAATCATCTAAACAATCAAATAAAAGCGCAACAACATCAAAGCCTGTCAAAGAAGTTAATGCAATAGAAATTGAAAATAATTTTGATAAGGGACTTAAAGCCATACGAATTTATAATATATTAATTGTGATAAGAGGTCTTATTGCATTGCTTCTAGAGATGGATTTTACTTGCAATATGGATCAATTTTTGTTAACATGCAAGGTAAAACCCATTTTTATATTATAATACCAAATTTTTATAAAATTTTTAACATTTCTAGGTGATTGCACGGTTGGTATCTGCCTGTCGCCCAGCTGTAAAATTGACAAAAATTGTAACTACCACACAACTGGAGCAATTAATCCGGCTTGCTGTTTGGAATGATCAACAACAACCTTGGGCTGTACATGCAATTACTTGTTTATTACAGGTAATATAAATCGTTTTGTATTTTTATCAAATGAAGACGATATAAAATAGAATAATGTGCACCATAACTTCGTTATGCAAAACTCTTATATTAATTAATAACGGATAAGTTGTTTTATTAGATAATTATGATTTTAATCAACTTAAGAATTTTGATGGTTTTGTATTGTATTGTGCCATGTGTTATAAGGAGCAACAAGTCTTCTATCGAGATAGAATCATTTATATAGCTGTTTTTATATTTTTTGTTTGTTTATTTGGAGTTTCATCATATGTTAATATTAAATAAAATAGTATTTTTTTTAAATCAAGAGTAATTTATTATAATAAATTTTAATTTATTTTTTATAGGATTTGTTAGATGCTGATAAGCACTATAAAGACAATGACGCTACTCCTACAAATGATCGCGGCAGTATTTTGGAAATTGTAACCGCAGACCAGTCACCAAAAAATGCTTTTGACAGTTATCAATGTAATTATAATTAAATTTTTTTTTTTTGAATATTATATATAAATTTTTTTTCATTTGTTACAATTTATAGCAATATATGCACAACAACCCATGACATCTGTACAAGCTAACAGTAATGAAGTGCCCTATTCTGATGGTAAATATAATTAATATAAATCATTATATATGTGTTATTAATTAATTAGCTGGAGCTTAAGCTTCATTTTTAATGCAAATTAAAATTAATAAGTTTTAAAACAATTTGTATGTTATTTTTTTAATTATAACTATTTCTGTCTACCTTGTAGACCATCCTCAGTGTACATGTGCACTTAATTATCAAATAAAAATTTGGCATTTAAATAATTCATTAATTAATTAGTTAATTAATTATTAATTAACAGTTCTAAGAACGGCCGGGTTTATGTCCCGGAGCCACTCGTGAATCTCGACGACCAAGAGCTGTTAATTATTTTCAAAGTGATTTTACTAGTAAACAATAATTAATAATTAATAAAATAAAGTATTATATAAAAAATAAATATTAAATTAATAAAATTTTTTGTTTACTCTTATAGCAAAATATTATCATTTACCATCTTTAATTGAGTGCGATGATACTGAGTTTGATGAACTTCTCAACGACATGGCGATGATTGAACGTACAAAACCAACGAAAAAAGACAACAACAACGTTAATAAAAATACAGTTAATTACTTTTGTAAATCTATATCGAGCTCCCTAGATGCTAGGTTAGATGTTGGATTAGATATCAACATTGAAGTTAAAATTCGACGCTTAACAATGATTTCTTCCTTGGATATGTATGCATCATTGCCTCAGATTCCTGGAAATGAATTCGTTACACCCATTCCGGAAGCAACCATATGGCCAGAATACATAACAGAGATTTGGTCAACACCAGAATTTAATGAATCGCAAAATACTTACAAAATGTTTAAAGATGTATTTGATAGCATATTCGCAGATCTACATATGCAGGTAAATTTTTAAAATGAAGTTTATTTTGGAATAGAAAGTGTACAATTTAAAAAATGTTTTTTTTTTTGTTAAAGGATACATGGGTACATTTGGAACAGGTATTGCATATGTGGCTAACTTTGAATGGAGAGCTTACTGATAAAGCCTGTACTGGAACTTTTTCGCAAACCGATGTACCAAAAATACCATTTGGTGCACATGCTGTGCAGGGACTGTTAATTGCACTAGCTTGGCATAATGATATTAAGTTGCGTACTTGGTGTTTGGGTTTCCAATGCTTGTTTTTAGCTTGTAACTCACAAGCTATTTGTGATGATGACTCAGATTCGACGAATATAAACGAAGTTATAATTAACGATGAACATTTTGAGAAAATGTTGTTGAGATTTTTCTCTGGTTATGGTATGACTTCAACTATTATTTCTAATCGATGTGTAAGTTATTTTACGATTTTTTTTAATTGAATAATTGTTAATAATCTAAATAATTAGGCTGGACCAACTATATGTAAACATTTGCATGAACTATTACAATGGTTGCATAAGAAAAGCGAAATGACAGAAGATTTTATCACTTGTAAACGTAAACTTAAGGATATTTTACTACATATTATACTGCAGTTAGTTCAACCAGGTGGTGCTATTTGCACTCAACAGGGTCCAATCGACGCACAAAGTCAATTAGTGCGTGATTTGCTATGTATGCCAAATGATAAAGCTGATTTAATTGTTGCTTTAAAAATAATAGATAATGTTTGTAAGTAAAATAAATATTTGAAATAAAATTACCAATTCATCTATTTTTTATATTCAAGCGTTCCTGGTCAACAATAATATATCCAACAATGACAAGTTACAATGTCAGCGTATATCTGATAATAGTAGTGCTGCAAATACGTTCTGCAATTTATTTGCCAATGTGCTTGGTTCAGATAACACTAAGCAAAATGCATCTATATCAGATAATTCGTTGATTATTAGTTTAATAAAGCTGTCATCGTCGCTCATACAGATAGAGTTGCCAAGACAGCCAAGTGTAAGCAATAACATTTTGATAAATATTTGATTTAAAATTTTGTTTATGAATATTTTTTAAATATGTACTTTTTGTTTGTAGGAGGTTCCAATACCGGAAGATAAGGAACTTTCAAACGAAAGTCAAACAGATGAAACAAAAGCTGAACAATTAAATAATGATGGTCCAAAATCGAAAACACCATGTATAGCTGATACGGGTAAGCTAAATATAAATATATATAAATAATATTTAATATATACGTTGGAATATATTAATTTAATATATATTAAGTTTTTTAATAAATAAATAATTTTAATTTTAATTTACAGTATTACGTGATAAGAACATGAATACCATGAAACGTTTATTAACTGCTTTGTCGAATTGCACCAGCACTTCCGTCATATTGACAATAACAAACAATTCTATAACTACTACAAAGGCTACAGATAATAATTCATTCGATGATCCGCAAACAACAGCAGATGCAGTTTTTAATATGCTCGTTTTACTATACGAAAAAGCATCAAGCCCACGTTTAGTTATTGCACCAATATGTCAATATCTGGAAGCAAGTAAGCAAAATTCTTTATATAATAAGTGAACATACAATAACGTAACTTTTTTTTTACTTTTAAAGGCACCTCGAATCGTACTTATCTTCCACGTTTACAATTATCAGAACCTTTTCTTCTGTTTATGTCAAAAGTTTTGGCAGATTCATCTTCTGTTCAAATTTTTACACAACTTGGTGGCATAAATATTATTTGCAAAAATTTAGTTAAACTAAACAAAGCATTGATTAATATGCAACCTAGCTTAATATCGCTCATTATGCAACATATGACCAAGAATTCCAAGATAAAAATTGCTCCACAGAATAGTTTGAATAACAGTTTAAAGAAACCACCAACAAATAACGCACAGTCTCCACGTTACCTACAAGAAGGTCTTATTAATTTTGCACCATTCTGCAATATTTCTACAGAAAATGATTCTGCTCAATCCGCTGATATATTAATTTCCAATCCAATGGCTTCACATCGTCGGCCACGTACACCGGCCTGGAATTATATGTTTTATCCTAATGAATCGCATGTAGATTTAACCATTACGTTGCCAACTGCGGTATTGCTGAAGGAAGTGCAATTGCAACCACATACTCCGACACTGGCATCATGTCCATCAGCTGTAGCTTTAGAAATATCACGTGATTATGGTCTAGGACCTATACCCGTTTGCTCACCACTAACCACAACAGGCATGACATGCATACGTTTGAAGTTGGCTAAAGCTGAAATAGCAACGAGTGTGGTTTTAAGATTATACAGGTTAGTCATTTTATTTACATATTAATTTATGTTTTAAATAATTGGTGGTTTTTTGGACAATTTTTTGTTTAGACCTAAGGATAGTTCCAATATTGGTTTGTCACAAATTGCTATACTCGGCAATACAATATTTGCAGAACATGCAAATACCAGCAGCAGCAGCAACAGTGTATCAAATGCTGATAATTCAAGTGATAATGATATTTTTGCTAAGACTAGCATTGGTTGGATAAGTATTTTATCACGTTGTTTCAATGCAGCTGATTTTATGCCCTATCCTAAATGGGAAGCAGATATCATTGGTGCTTCGGCCGTATATCCTGGTTTCCTTGAAGCATGTTGTTCATTAATGAATATAATGCCCATGATACCAAGTGGAGCTCAACACAATTTAGAAACGGTTCTCCTTAAGTTAGGTTCATATAACAAAGAATTGTGTTTATCTTTAATACGAATTTTGTTATGGAATACAGCACCTCAAGGTATTTAATTTAATTTAAACTAAGTTTTTAAATATATATGTTTAATATATACCATTTTTAGTTTATAAGCTCACAAATGAAAGCATATGTGATTTGCTTTATGAATTAGCAACAACCAATGATGCACACATCACAGATAAAATACAGTTATTATTGGAATGGGTCATCAAATTACGTCAAAGTTACAGCAGTGGTACGCAACGTTGTAACAATCCTCAAAGTGGATTTGTAAAATGCATTGCTTCTATTTTGTGGTACATATGTTCCAATAATCAAGTGCATAAAATAATGGAACTAATAACAAATGATATATTTGAAGCTTGTGTTTACTGGATTGATAACTTAGCTCATGATGAGCCCTTGAAAGTGGCATTTGATTCACTGCTCTGTGCACTATGTAACATCAAACCAGAACTTTTTGATCAACTTTTACTAAAAGTTGACGTTAAAGTTATGCAGTCAATGCCAAATATTTCTAATGATCAGTACGCAAAAGAGGAAGAAATTGGTCTTACGGATGACAACAAAGGAATAAGTGGTAGTGAATGGTTTGAACATGCTGCAGCTAATAATTTAAATACACTCTTACAGCGACCATCCTATCTGGCAACACTGGCTTTAGCTTGTCAATCACCTGTTGCAATATATAAATTAGTTGATTCTGGTTTACCAAAATTATTGTCGCATGCATTATTTGAGTATTGTTGCGCTTTGTTACCAACATTAAAGCGCGAGCAGAAAACTGTTCAAACACAACATGAAGAGGATGAATTGGAACCAAAGCCAACCACTAGTGCTTCCGCTGTTGCAAGTACAAGTCGCATGCAACATAAATTTAATAATCAAGCAACAGACATTGATAAATCGAAGCATGTTTATACCAACACAACCGATACACAACCTCTACTCACGTGTACACACGTGCCAAAAATACTTGATTTCTTTGCTGAATGTTGCGCAGAGGGACATATGCGTGACTGGTTGGGCACACAACAGGGCACTGTATTTTGGAAACCATTACTTGAACTGCTTTGCAATTTCAGACCATTAGAACTTGCTGGCGAAGAACCTTTACAACAAGCATTCATACGTATGGAACGTGCTACCATTAACTTTTTAACACGTGTAACATCATGTCATCCTAAAAACCAAGATACTTTAACTTCATTACTTATTGCGGTTATAACAAAATCCTCTAATGTATCACCTACAGCAACATTAAAGTCAACAATTTCTGGCTTTACACGTCAAATCGTTTTACAGCTGCTCTTAGAGAATGAGCGCTTATTGGTTTCGATTAGAAGTAAATTACCATTGCAGCGTAAAAATTCCATTTTCAATTCTTCCAGTTCTTTAACAGCGAATGCTGCGAACAATAACAGTGTTTCGATGTGCTTTGTAAATAATCATCCATCGAAACGAGTTAACGCACATCATTTGCTATTTTTCGTTAATTCAAATACCAAATGTCAAGAAATATTGCAATATTGTGTTTCAGGTGAGTTGAATTTAACATGTATATAATTTAAGATCCCATATATGGTATATAAGCAATTAATCAATATCCAACTTTATTTAATTTATTAATATTGTACATTTTACTTTATATGAATTATGCATGCTTCCCAGCGCTAAATTAACATTTTAATATCTCTGAATTAACTTTTCATACTTACTTGCGGATGGGGATATAAAACATTTTTGCCCTAAACAGCAGTACTTTTGCTTTTAAATGGAAAACTGTATAATTTGTAAGAAGAAAACGTATTAGATTTTTTTTCTTGCAAGAAAAAACCGAGGCATTTAGTTAGTTGACCATAGTGCCCAAATTCAAAAGAATTTTTAAACAGTCAATACAAAATAAGATCCTCTCACTAGAATTTCTAAGTTTCCCTTGTGAATTTAAGAAGATTTTGTAGAAAGACAGCATTAACCAATAATCTCAATCTAGTTCATCATAACCCAAAAATCTCAATCTCGTTCATCAGAACCCAATAATCTCAATCTAGTTTTTACACACCCTGGTTAATAACAGATGACGTGCCTTCGTATTGTGAACAATCTCAAGCGATGGATGTCATGTCATGTACCCTGCCATTATTTCGAGATTCGAGTATTTGTGAGATCCTTTAATTGCATGACAAAGTTAACTAGTTTAGTTTTACAAAGTTTTTAGTTAATTTTCAATTTCTTTTTGGACAATCTTCTTTTTTAGATAGATTTCACAAAATCATTAAATGGATGACAGAATTCTGCATAGTTAATAGCGAAAATAGTAGGGCTTACTTTACCTTTGCTATCTGACAATAGCTTATCTGTTGTTGTTGTGATTTGAATTAGTGCTATTGCGCACTTTTACTCTTTTGTGGCTGGGGGGCTTATCCCTGCCCCACACTAAGCTTTACCTATACTAGAGTTATTATCATTTATTTATCATTTATACTAGAGTTATTATCATTTATTTATCTTTTAACTGATGACGGGCCATAGATCAGCTCTTCCTGTGTGTCCTGAGGTGGACTTAAGGTTTGTTAGGGCGGGGTTGGGCTACGTATCAACTTTTGTGAATAATTTTAGGGCTTGCTATATTTTTTCACTGAGTCGTTTCTTAGATTTCTTTGCATGTCTGTTGTTCTAATATACCAAGGAATCATAATTAGTCTTCTTAAAGCCAGATTTTGTGCTATCTGTAATTGCTTTATGGCAGTATTTGAGGCTTTGCTATATGTTACACATCTATACAGTAGTGCTGGCCTAATCATTTGAATATATAATAACTTTCTATTTTTGAGGTTAAAGCGATTATTATTAAACAGCGGCTTAAAGAGATGTAGTATGTTAGAGCAACTATTCCGTTTACATTTCAAATGTTTATACCAATTAAGCCGTTTGTCAAAAGTGACTCCTAAATATTTTATGATTTCCTCCCACCGTATCTCCGTGCCAACGACGCTCAATTCTGAAGGATGCTGCCTTCTCTTTCATGTTATGAATATAGCCTTGGTTTTGTCGTTGTTAATTTTAATTTTCCATTTCTGGAAGTATCCACCATGAAGTCTATATTTCTCTGTAAGGTGTTACTTACATATATGGCTGCACACAATTACCGAAGCTTAAATAAAATTATTTTAATTTTGAAAGTTATATGTATCTATAATTTTTCACATTAACAGTTTTATCGCTGAAGAATTTTTGTTATATGCATTATGCATTCTTCAGGCATGTTTATTAAATATACATATACCATTTTTAATCTTATATCTATCAACTCAATTTCAAATTGTCTGAAGTTTGTTGAAACTCTTCCTACGCTAGTCATACCTTATCAATAATCTAATTTATTGTATATAATTTATTAATTTTTGTTTGAATTTTGCTTCTATTCTTCTTTCTACTAAATTTTAATTTTTATAATTTCTAATTATTTTTTGTTTGCTTGTTTTCCTTTTTATTTATGTTCATTTTGCGAATATCTTAGTTTCCTCAAACCTTGCACTTACTAATAATAATTCAGAAAATCCACCAAAAGATGAAAATACAGATTCGGCACCAACTTGTAATAAGATCACTATTAATCAAAATGCCATGAAGCCAATGTTAGAGATAAATACCGGAATAGGATTGAATTTCAATGGTTTTGATAATGGTATGGAGTTTTTAAGTGTAGCTGCAGGCGTAACTGCAAAGGATAAGCGTTTGAAAGATGTTAAAAACCAGGTGGCCTCAGCGAAGGATCATAGTGCCATTTCCGCGCTTCCAAGTATGTATTTTATGCTAATATTTTATTGTATATTGTATTATTTCAAATGTTAAATTTCTTAATAACTCTTTTCAGAATTATTTACCATTGATGACTTCATAACTCCTTCGAATTCTGTGTTAACACCAACTTTTGCTCAATTAACCCATGATGACTTGCCCGATATATTACTATCAAGCGATACAACAGTGTCTCAAATTTTAGCTTCTTTATATAATAAAGGAGAATCTTTATCCACTCCTTGTTTGTCGCTTAATTTGGTAAATACAAATAACAATAAAACAAATTATTTCAACAGCAACACTTTTCTCATAAATTTATTCAATATGTACTGTACAGTTGACCCGAATTACTAATCCTGATGAGTGTGATGAATCCGTAGTGAAAGCCGCCAATATGGAACCTTTACCAACACCGCTACAAAGATTTTCCAGTCGTGGGGGCTTATCTATGTTAGCTAAGTATTTGCCTACCGTTTATCCGGAAAGTGCTGGCCGTAAGTCACCAACAACCCAACCGGAAAAGGAAAAAAGTCAACCAATTGTTGATTGGGTGAAACTTGAACCTAATGATGAAATATATGAAGATCTTGATGATGTTGTATCAGAACCAATTTCTAAAAATGCTTCGATTTCATCCGTACCACAACACTCCTTAGCTGCATTTGGGTTATTCTTACGTTTACCTGGTTATTCAGATGTTTTATTGAGAGATAAATTACGTGCTCAGTGCCTTCTCCGTCTAGTTTTGGGTGTGACCGGGGATGGTGAAGGAAGTAAGTTTTTATATAATTGCTTGTTTTTTGTTTTATGTTACTAATCATAATTTGGTTTTTGTAGACGATATTTACAGTCTGTCTCTTGCTCCTTCGCTGCCAACATTACCATTTGAAGTTTTCCGTCAATTACTTGATAGTTTACTATTGAAAACCGATGACGGCGTCTTACTAAGACGTATGATAATTGAAATTGGTGCAATGCATTTAGTATTAAATTGTTTGAGTATATTTACACATCAATCACAAAATTGTCAGATCTCAACTCCTCAAAGCGAGGTAGATAATTTCCAAAACACTTTGTTCAATGTTCTATTTAAAATATAAATTTTTTTAAGGCTTCCTCGACTGGCGTAAAAACAAATGGAGAAGAATCCTCAATAGCTCCATCTGATGATAAGAGTCATATGTATTGGGCAAAAGGAACCGGATTTGGTACCGGTTCAACTGCGCAATCCTGGAATGTCGAACAAGCACTGTTAAGACAAAAAAGTGAAGAAGAGCATGTAACTGTTTTGTTGCAGGTAAATAAATATAAATTTTTATTCCATATTATTTCATTATTAATTATTTATATGTATTTATTAGGTACTTTCAAGTTACATTAATCCTGGCGATACCATACCTGCATTTTTGCAAAACGAAGAAATAATGGCTTATCATGAAATAAATGATAATCCCGGCGAGTTACCAATACAATTTACTTATCTCTTGCAACAGTCCTGCCTCATTCCGGCTTTAAGTTCCTATTTACGAAATGACTCTGTATTAGATATAACAAGACACATTCCTCTGTATCGTGCTATATTACAATTGTTACGTGCTCTGTCACAATCACAGCAATTGGTCTCCTTATTGCAACCACAAACTCCACTAGAAAATTCACCATCCATTTTAGAACTTTTAACTAATTTGAAAACGTGTGTGGATACATACGCAAAGCGTTTGAAGTAAGTGAGAGAACTATTATTAAAAAATTCATATCACTTATAAATTTAAATTTAATTTAAAAAATTTTTTTTTTTGTTTTTTTATAATTTAGAGTGAACAAGAAATCCAACATAAAGGGACAAAAACAACAAGTTACTTTTAATATAGATGATGGTGATGATGAAGGATTAGCTCTTTTAATACCCGATATACAGGAGACAACTGCAATTGTACAAAAAACAATCAATGCAGATACATTAGCTAATTCATTTGATAACGATGCTGCAGTAATAAATATTGATAATCCTCAATTAACAAAATCTTTAGAACAACGCTATATGGAATTAATGAAACAGCTGCAATTCGATACTTATGATATGATTGTTGAATCAGATAACAATAGTTTTCGCTTTACGGTTTCACATCATTTCGAGAAAATGGTGCGAATGGCTTGTGATCGGTATCATCCATCGCGCGTTAAGCGGTTAGCACAAGAAGCTGTAACATTATCAACCAGTTTGCCATTGTCTTATAGTAGTTCTGTGTTTGTTCGCTGTGATACTGATAGACTTGACGTAATGAAGGTGTGTTTTATTACTAAATGTTTTATAATATAAACAGATGACTGATATTTTATATAACGTGCTATCAAATACTTGTAAATAGCGAACACTTCTTTATATACATGTTACAAATTATTTATAAAATTTTTCTCTAATATCTGCTTCTATACCAAATTTTTTTATTTATTTATTTTTAGGTGCTCATTACTGGACCCGCAGATACACCTTATGCGAATGGTTGTTTTGAATTTGATGTATTCTTTCCACCAGAATATCCTCTTCAACCAATGATGATAAATTTAGAAACAACTGGTCGCCATTCAGTTCGCTTCAATCCCAATTTATATAATGATGGTAAAGTTTGCTTATCTGTCTTGAATACTTGGCATGGTCGACCTGAGGAAAAATGGAATGCACAAACTTCAAGTTTTCTGCAAGTATTAGTTTCAATTCAATCGTTGATTCTCGTCCCAGAACCTTATTTCAATGAACCAGGATTTGAACGAAGTCGTGGTACACCAAGTGGTACATATTCCTCACGCGAATATAATAGCAACATTTATCAAGCATGCGTACGTTGGGCTATGTTAGAACAGATACGTAATCCTAGTCCTTGTTTCAAAGATGTAAGATTAATAAAATTTTTATTTTAAATTTGTAATAAATTTTTGGTTTTTAAGGTAATCCATAAGCATTTTTGGTTGAAGCGTAATGAAATTTGCGCGCAAATTGAAAGTTGGATGGAAGAATTAAACAAGCCCCAATATAATGAACGTAATAGCCGCACCATTTCATTCAACTCAATGGTCTTACGCCGTCAATATCGACATTTACGTGAAGAACTTTCAAAATTAAAAGTCCCCGAGGGCTTGGAAGATTTAGATGCTCCTTTTAGTCCACATGTTTCAATACCACCAATGATTGACAACTCAAGTAATTCGGCTAGCACAAGTACAAGTAGCAGTGTTATAGCGCAAACACAGAGCACAACAGTAAGCACAATGACTGCGACAACAGCAACCGCCGAGAATGCAGAAACTAAAACTGAAAGTTATCAAGGTAAAACAAAAATGTTATACTATTAAAGTTCCATGTAATAGTTCAGCAATGTTAATTTTATTTTTAGAATCCGTGTCACCCGCGTCACTTAGTTATCCAGAGTGCAGCACACCCAAACCAATGTTAGTTGAATTACCTGATTACATTGATAACGATTTGGATGATGCCACACTTTTATTAACGCCACAACATCCAGTACCTGCGCCAGTGACAGCTACTGTGGTAACAGTGGAAGAGGCTACCACTCAAGCGGACGAAGAGATTATTGCCCAAACACCAGACTCCCCAATACCAATGTTTAACTATCAGCACGATGTTATGAGTATAATAAATCCTCCCTCACCGATACCAATTCCAATGTTCAGCTATTCCTTTGATGGAGACGTAGAAATATTCTTTGACAATGCCGATGAAGATGCTCAATATGAAGACTCCAATTTGGGAGATTTTCTATAGTTATCTTTTGACAGCATTATTTCGAAATGTCAACATGTATCCAAAGTCTCAGATGTTTAATGTATGTATGTCTACAGTTAGTTTATTATTTTAAATAATTTTATTTTTTATAAATGCTTATATTCCTTTGTGTGTTTTATAAAAAAATTTAGAAAATTATGTATGAATATAAGAAATTTAAAACAAAATTTAACGTTGAAACTTAAAAAAAATATGGCTTTTCCCTTAATGCACCCAACGTTAAAAAAAACTAAATTAAAAGTATGTATATGTATTCGTAAAGAGGTAGTACATTGATAAAAATGTAATTTATAAAAATATATTTGTACGAAATTTCTAAACATACATAAAAATTAAAATAAAGTAAAACAATTAAAAAAATTTAAAGTATTCAAAATTAGACTATTTTATTTTACTTGTTTACTATGGAATATTATTATATACAAATTTTTTTTTCATTTAATGAAAAATTGTGTATTTGAAAAATCATGTCATAAATAAAAAACATTAATCGAAACTAAAATTATAGATAAAACCTTATTTCTTATCAAAATTGGTAAGTGCAGCAATCACTAATATTGGACTTTATTTAAAAAAAAATTCAATTAATTCGCCAACACACAATTTTATGAATTTCTAAAAAAAATGTTGAAATTGTAAATAAGTGTTTCAGATGAATACATATTATTAATTAATCCTACATATTTAGAACATTTTTCTATTATTCGTATATTTTTTTTAATTAAAATATATTAAAATAAATAAATGCAATATAAAGAACTAAGATCCTCAGGTGTGATTTTTATTTGTAGTAAATTCGAAAAACATAATAAATGTAATTAATATTTAAAATTAAAATTAAAAAGAATAATAATTTTAATGCTAGGAAAATCTTTATTACAGTCTTGGAGTTTGCGATTTTTCTATATTTTTGTATACTAAATATTCTAGAAATAATTGGACATTTTATAGCTTCTATGCTTAAGCTAATTAGCCTGATTTTGACAATGCACTTTCTGGAAATGCTTTCAATATTTAAAATTCCGAATAGTATAAGATTAAATAATAAAACGGATATGGACAACTGTGCTCAGGCTTATAGGATTATTATAAACAAATGACACAGAATGTTTGTATATATTTTTTTTGTGTATAATTTTTATTCTTTTTTGTTTTTTTTTCTTGTTGTCATTATTATTATTGTATTTATTATATGATTTTTCTTTGTAATTTTCCGCTATAAATTTAACATTGTATATTTTGTTTAGTTTCTCTGAAAATACCTATCGGAGATAGTCGAAATATTGGAAAAATATTTTAATAAAATATAAATTGTTTTTAAATATAAATAACAAATTATAGTCTTTTTTTCTATTTAAATTGACCAATTAGCCCGCTAGTAAATTATTATTTAAGTTAATTAAGTTTTAAGTTAGAACAAAAAATATAAACTTCATTTAACTTCATTTATTATAAATTTTAATCTAATTTTTAAATATATTCGGTTATATATCAATTAACATATAAAAATATAAAGTCACAAACAGCCTGTATACTCTTGCTGAAGTTACCGTGAAGAATTAGGGAAAACAAACAATTGTAGACATTTATCCTTGTAGGCATTAGAGAACACGGCTTTATAACAATAAAATTTTTAACAGGCTTGGTTCAGAAAACTCTAGGGATAACAGATATCTTACTTGTTCAGCTAAAACTGTTTTGGCAAATTTAGCTTTAGATATAGCCACGTGTTAAACTGTTACTTGTCATGAATAAATACATCTGCTCCAACTGCAGCTGTACTTTTAACGACGCCGACCATCTAATTTTATATCCAAATATACTCACAACTATGAGCTCAACTGAGTTATGCTTTCGCATCTCATACAAAGCAATGACTTATAGATCACATATAATTACTCATAAATATTATATAACAAATTACTAATTTTTAAGCTTGAAAAAGCAAACTATATTAAAATTATTTTAATTAAAAAATCTGTTCTTTCTTATCAACTTCATAGTTGCTGTCACTACTGTATCCAATTGCAGTTTTTTCACTTAGGTTAGACCTATAACTTCGTGCATAATAATAATTAATAATTATAAAAAAAAAAACAAAACCGTGAAAGACAATAAGAGCCTATTATTATTATGAAAAAGATAGCACACTGCAACCTAAAAGATCTGTTGTGCCCCTTAGTCGAATTAAAGTGTTTCTCCAAATCCGATTTCTTTAATGAGAGACATTATAGGGTCTATCTTTCCTAATCTTGAATCTCTATGTTCCATAAAATACCCTCCTAGATGTTTCTTCCGCTTGTGCATCAGTGCCGGGCACTCTCCTAGCACATGGTATGCGGTTTCTTCCTCTTCTCTATAGTATCTGAAGTCTACGGAGCCTAAGGATCGATTAAAAAAATTGGGTCTCACACAATAATCCACTTGAATAGCTGTGTATGGTATTTCGCAATTAATATACATATTAATAAAAAATCTTTTCAAAAGTTTATGTGCATATAGGAAGAATGTACTAAAAAATTTACTTGGAATGGGGCTTATAAGTTAAAGACGTAAACGTTTTGGAAGGGATTTGCTATATCCCTGTGTATAAAAATTTTATTTTTTTATGACATAAAATGTTCTGTCAAATCAATCTATTGTGTTAGTGTTGTTTGTGTATATCCTAAGGAGATATTTGCCATTGTTGAATAGTGACTTACATAACTATACTTCAACAAACTAATAGCCTAAGTAGATAAAGCAATCCTTGACATTCTTTCACACAGTAATATATACTCCGTTTCCAAAATATACAACGATACCTTCTTACAGTTACAGTTAGATTGTTTCAATTTGAAGGGGTTTTCAGACTCTTAAGTTGTCTTCTGGTTATATGTCTGTGTGTATATTCATATATGTAATGCATTTTATATTACAAATATTAACATTAGTACGTTTTTTTATTGTTTAACAAAAATACAGATATGTTATCTAATGTACATAATTGCGATTCTAAGAGAAACTATAGTTTTTTATACTAATAGTAAGGTCTTCTCTTTTTAAAGTCCGTTTTTCTAATAGAACATAGATCTGCCATGATGTTGTTGTAGACCTTTTATCTAACCTAGTTTGGTGCTTTTTATATATATTGATATACATGTATCATTTTTTCGAAATTTCTTTATCTGTGGTTTGGTCCCAAGTCATAATTAGTATATTAGATTCTCTGTTACTTTGTGGGTTTCATATTAAAACTCAAGATGTACTTATTTGGCTGATTAATGTGAAGTGAAATTATATGGTTCTGTTACTGCTTTTTTATCAGAAATTCTGAATTTAAGTATATGTACTTGATCAATAGGAGTACTACTGATAATCCGTTCTTTGGTTCCATTTTGAATTTTTTATGTTAACAAAGATTTGTTTCATTTTATAATTTTTATATAGAACTAAATTTGATATATATTTTTAATAAATAAATTATAAACGAACTTGTTAGTCAGTTAGACAGGATATCTATTATTTATAGAGCTGACCCTTTTAAGACTCTTTTGAGTTGTATTATTACAATGAATGACATTTGGAGTTTTTATCAAAATTTTTTTAAAAAAATTTTTTTTCTAACAGCATTTTTTTCGTCAAGTATATTTGGCAAAAATTATTTTTAAACAAAAATGTTATGTTAATAGTAAAAAATTATATTATGTTTAACTTATCTGCAAATAAATTTTTTGTTAATTGTTCACTCACGTAATCTTTATAATTTATTTAGATATTTTATCTTTATTCTGTGCCATAATGATTTAATTAACCATGTTTTTTATATAACTTCAAATCGACAGTTCTATGCCAAAATATTATTTATTTTATTTTCATTATTTTCGAAAAATGCTACACTGACAAATTTTTTTCAACCTAAAATTTGTCAATTGTTTAATAGAGAGCTCTATATCCACGTTGCAGCAAAACTATTTCAGAGAATTTATAAAATACACAATCAAGAAGATTGACTATGCTTTTTGACCTTATAATTCAAGAATTTATTAAAACCTTAAAGAATCAGTTACTATAATATATTGTTAGGTTAGGTTAGGTTGAATTTGCAGCCTTGTGCCCAAATAGTCATATTAAATACCACGGACTTATGACAAACACAAAAGAGCCATTTTAAAAGTAGAAGTCCGAAGTATTAAGGCAGAAGAAGAGCCTTTTTCCAATATTTCGACTATCTCCGAAATATTTACAAATAGTGCCCTTTTGGTAACGACCAGTTCTCCCTCTCAAGTAGAAAGGAACTAAGCTTATAGGTATAGGTGTGTGCTGGTTTAATATCGGTCGTTTAGAACTTTTGCAATTTGAAGATCTCTATTAAGAATAGTCTATACAATTTCAGTTTTTTTTTACATGGAGAGAAGATTTTACATTACTACTTTAGTAATACATATAAGATATATAACAGTCAGATAAAAGTATTAAGTATTTGCGTTTTTGTATATAATATATATATTTTATTATTATAAGAAAGCTACTTATGTCACTGGTTATTATATATAATATATTTATAATATTATATAGTAAAACATGCATTCTTTATATATGTAATTTTCTTCAATCCTGAGACAAATATTTATTACATTTGATAGTATATGCATAAATATACACTAGATACTATTATAATATCATATTATATCATTTTTTTAAAGTGGTTGAAGATTTATTTGTTTGTAAAATAGATGTTCCAATAGCAATAAATTTCAGAAAATGTCATATTTGTTTAAAATTCTAATAAATTTTATTTTTCCTATAAATTTATACACAATTTTATAAATAATTTTATTGAATACTCATCACGATATTAAGGTAAAAAATGTGCCTGTGAGAAATGTATGTACATTAATATTAAATCGAAATTGAATCGGAATTGAATTCAGTTACCTTTAAGAGCTCAGAATCTAGTTTTAATCATCGGTAATTAGAGACTGTTAAAATTTTATTTATAATAAAAATACATGTATCTGTGACAGTGGCGTAGTTAGGATTGTATGAAGGAAAGGGGATACACTGAAGGATATCTTTTTGGCAGCATTTTAACAGTTCACCAATGTTTTGTATTATGTATTTTACGAGTATTGATTGGATTGGATTTTTCCCCAATCCCCATTATCTAAACACACCATTGATCTTTGACCTTTAAGTTTAACTGACTGCAGCAAGTTTTATATGTAATGTTTTTTTATATTTAAAAATTTGGATTTCTGCTAAAGCCGAAGAATAGAATTCTTGCTGCAAAGGAGTATGTAATATTCTATGGTTTCTTAATAATATTTTTAAAGTGATCTATTATTATTTACGAATCTAACTTATGTAGTTACTGAGTACACTGTAGTTCACTATACTTGATATGAAGAATTTACTTTGTAAAAATTCAGGTTATCTAAATTACAGAGATATTGCAACTATGATAGAGATAAATATTTGAACTCGACACAGATAATATTGTAGTAAAATATATACCGAATCAGAGATATGCTACGAGCATATCTGCATAGCAGTTAGGTTTGGTTTGTTGTGATACCACGGATGAGGTAACCTTTATACGTCAGTTTTAAAAAACCACCCCAAAGGTTAAAATACGATTCTTCTAGACCGTTCTTTTGAGAAAGCCCTACTACCCTATTCAAATAAATGGAAACCAACTTGACAAGTGCATAAACTTGTACATATCGGTAACGTTAAAGGATGTTAGCTTTGTCAGGTCAGTTAAGAAAAATAACCCAAATATTTTGAATTGTTCCTTAGACATTAATGGGCACTAACACATGAGTTAGAGTATAAAGTCCTCTTTACCCGCAGAGCTACAATTTCGTCAAAAGTCGTTAGAGAATAAACTAAATCTTTTTCCATGCCTTTCTAGTAGGCAATGACTTATTAATCTATCATCTAATATTAGGGAACTAATTTTAAAGGTTTGCCAGCGTTTTTGGTTTGCTAAGTGTCTCTACATGACGGTTATTTAATATCCCTTTATGTCCATGCATAGCAGTTAGAATGTGCCGAAATTATTCGAAGTATATGATATGCAACGATTTTTTTTTTCCTACAACAATAAATTCATGTTTCACAAACTGCGAATATATTGTTAATATATATTTTCGGAGAATTTTAGGGTTTTTTTTTGGGCAAACAAAGTAACTAATGATAATGTTTAAAGTCGAACAAACATTAAAATACGTAGAAGATATTTTGGCTAGATTGGTTGCACACCCCAGGAAAAGCAAGACAAGATATGTACTAAAACTCTGATATATAACCCACAAGGTGCAAGCAGAAGAGAATATTCGAAAGCTACATAAAGATATATTAGGTAGGCAGAAATAATCTTAATACTTTTGGCGATAGTCTAGTAAATTCTAGGAATTTTAGTAAATTCTTCTAGAAAGTAGTGGACAAAGGGAAGAAGTGAAATCTTCTTACTGACTGGCTATGCTCAATATAGCAGCAGTTGAGTATTGAAAAATCTGTTTTTTTTAAGTTTCTCTCGTGATTTGCCTATATAGATTTAAAGAGTTGAATCTTGATTGTTATTTGAAAGAAAGTTTTACTGAAAATCATTTTCCAGTGTACTTATAATTATGTTCTATTTTAAAAATCTAAACATAAAACATACTTCTTTGGCTACAGTTAAGATAGTAACTGTTTAACGAAATAAAATAATTTAATTTTTTTATTAATAGAGTTTTATATCTTAGGGTGGTAATTCTTCACATGTAAGAGTTATTAATCAAATATGTTTAAGTTGGATTATTAATAGTTATATATGTAAGAGTGTAATATTTTATTATATTGTTTTAATTATTTTATGTGTAAAATTAAATAGTTATCTTATTATATGATCTTATAACGTTAAATGAGTAGAGAATCGAGACAATTATCTAAGGGAAAATTAGTGTTCTATTAAGATTCAGTGATCTGATCGGCGTGTCGGTGAGCAAATTGATTTTATTGCATATTAGGCTCACTTCACTCAAAGACGTTGATTTTGACGGTTCGGTTTGCGGAAGTCTTGTGTTTAATTATTTATGTGTAGAAAAAAAAATTATTTTAAAACGATAAAAACGTATTGAAAAAATTAATAGTAATTTGTGTTTAATAATTTAATTTCAATATGGAATTAAATCATGTGATAACGGATAATGGCGGTGATCCTGTAAGTTAAACACTCCATTTGCGAAAAAAAAAAATGATAAAATTGTTTAAAAATTATTTAATGCTCTTTATTAAATAAAATATACACATATATGTTAATACATAAAAAGAAAGAATAATTAAGTTATACTTTAACCAGAGATATATATGTACTCGTGTGTATGTCTCTGCCTTAACCATGTGAGATTTTATCTATATATAATTGATTGGCTTCTCTTTCACAACACAAACATGTGATCTATTAATTATTTAATGCAATGGCATTGCATTTGTTTATTTATTTTTTGTTCTATTTTTAACAATTCTTTCAAGTTGATCAATTTCTAAATAAATTCGTGTTATTGTTTTTTTGCATGAATTATTTCATCATATATTTAAACAATAAAAAGATGGTAAAAAGTTTTTAAATATTAATGAATTAAAAAGTTGTTTTGATTAATTTCATTAAACCTTAAAAAAATACCTTTGATCCTTTCAAAAAATTATTTGTTTAATTTTTTTTAAATAATAATTTTTTATATTAATAAAAAAATTGAAAAAAAATATTATAAACTAAAAATTAAAAAAAATTAAAAAAATTTAATTTTAAAAATGAAATCAAAAATTAAAATATTAAATCAAATTAAATCAAAACTGCAAACAATAATTTTAATTTTAGTTTAAAGACCTAGCTGTCCAGTTCGTTAATCTAAGTTAACTTTAGAATTAATTTTAATGTATGTTGATCCTTTTTTCGAATCAGCGCAACTGGGCACTTTTACTCTTTGATAGCTAGGGGTACTACAGGGTCCCACCCATCTCATTGACTAACTTATGTATTTAAGGTTAAGTCACAAATAAATATATAAATAAATATTTTTAATTTTTAAAAACTAATTGATATAATAATTAAATAATTAAAAGAAATATAACAATAAATAATTTAAATTAAATAAGCTTCGGTTTTTTACAAAATCACCAAATTTTGATAATAATTAATATATATATAATATATATATACATTATATATATATAATAATAATAAATAATAATTACAATATAAATATTTATTTAATATCCGGTTTAGTGTATGAAGAACAAACGTCATATAATTATGAATAGAGACTGAATTTTTATCTCCAGTCTCTAATCAATTAAATTTAATTGAATTGAATCGTAAAGCGAAGAGAAAGTCAAAAAATCATTCTAGGCAAAAAAAAATATTTAAAAAAAAATATCAAGTGTTAATGTTGATAAAATCTATTTTCACTTAAATAATTGCCTTTATCTGTAATTTATTTTATTTTTTCAAAAATTTCTGAAAGTTATCTGTAATAAGAGAAAGTTATCTATAATTCAAATTATCTGTGCAATCTATTAAAAAATTATAACGCCCTTAATATCCTTATAAGAATCATTTTCATAAGGTTAAGAAATTTGTTATACTAACAAATGCGGAGTCTATTGGTTATATTGAACCAGTCATATTTAATAAAATAAAAACATTTTTTTTAGTCAAATAATAATAGCGATACTGAACACACTTTATAAAGCATGAGTATCTTTTTATTTTGTTCTCATCAGATTTATAGTATAAATTAGTACTTAAAATGTATAACACCCATAAAAACTTCAGCTTAAAAAGACTTGCACCCTAGGGTAGTTGAATACTTTGTCAATAGAATAGGACACACTATTTATCATCTATATGTTTATATTTATAAAATCACTAATAAAATATTTATTGACTATAAAAGAATCGCCTTTCATTTGTATAAAAAAAAAACACGGAATTTTTTTCAAAAAACCTCCAATATTACCCTATTCTGCACCGCCGTTTGCCATTTTATTTGACGATTGTTTTTCTCTCTTACTCCTACTTTCAAGATCTCTATTCTATTTATTTCTAATGATTTCTAAAAATTTTTTAGAAAAAATATTATCAAAAGAAAAACTTAAAATCATTACAGGAATCCTGGGTATACATACGGATGCAAACTGTAGATTCTGTGAAGAGAATAAGGAGTCGGCCACACATATGCTCTTAAAAGACTTCTTACGATAGCGATAATAAAACTCTGTAAAGTAGGTTCTATACTACTTTTTATTGACGCAACAGGGCTTAGAGACCTACTCTAAACCCAGACGGGGGCACAATAATTATAATAATAATAGAGAAAATATTTTTTATTATTTAAAGTTAAAGAATTAACACTAAATCTTGAGTTGATCTATTTAAAGATTCTTGAATTCTCATAAAGTCTGTAGACTTGTATATAGACGTCTTCAGCTTTTGTAGAGAAGTTTTTTTTTTAAATCATCACTATACATTGTGGGTCATTATTGACAAAGCGATTAACCTATAGTAACCACGTTATTAATAATTGATCATTTGCATTTTTTTTAAATGTAACGAGTTTATAAAAAAAGGGTAATAATTTTTTTTATATTAACATTGTTTAAAATGTTAATTATATGGTAATGTACAATGTGAATAATTTCACTAATAAATTAACAGTTAATAACTCTTAGCAGTTGAATAAATAATTATTATTCAATTATAGTTCATGTGAATAGTTTTTTTTTTCAAATTTAATATTTTGAAAAATTAATTGTTATTACCACCAATTAATCAATAAGTTTTTGATTTTTACCAGGCTTAGGACGTTTATTTGACACATAAAAATTATAAAATATTACACTTATTAAATTGTGTTAAAATTTTTTATTTCATTTTTTAAAAAAATATTTATAATACAGATATTTCATTTTCATTCATATATTGAACACAAAAATTGTAACACAAATTATTAAGTGTATTTTTTTATAATTTTTATGTGTCAAATAAAGCCCTGTGAAAAGCAAAAAACTATATCTAATATATATCCATTCTATCATATATCTTAAAATATATATATAAATATTTATATGTTAATATAAATTATATTATATTTCTGTATACATTTTATTGATACATTTTGATTTAAAAAAATCTTTTTCAAAAGTGGTTTTTTCGAACAGTAGTGAACGACAACAACTAAAATTTTATTTTTTATATTATTTTAATTAATTAAATTTTTGGCTGACCATACAGCTGTTTCTTTTACTATTTTTTCAAAACCTTAAATTTTAATTTAATCGTTTTATTTTTTTTTTTAAACTAATGCTTCAAGTATTAGATGATGAATCTTTAAACCTTATTAAGTTTTAATTTAATAGTTTTATTAATTTTTTTTTTAAAACTTAAAAATTGAAATATCTTGAATCTACAAATCTTATTATTTAATCCTTTTTTTGCGATTTAAATGACTTCTATCTAAGAAAATCCTTCTTCTTCTCCTTATTTGGTACTACAGTCCAGTGTGAACCTTGGCCTACTTCACAACCTGCTTCCATTTGCTTCGATCTTGTGCCGTTGTTTTTCAATTCAGAACTCCAAGCTTTCTGACGTCCTCGTACACGTGCCACTATGCCTTGTTGTCATCGAATTAGCATTAGCATATTGGCCGGATTTCAAGAAAATTCTTAAATGTTGTTAAAACCTCTAAATGCTTTCAGAATCCTGAGTAAATTAACTTCGTATTTTGCAACGGAGTCAGGTCGGGCGATTCAATCAAAATTGATTATTAAAAATACATGTATATAAATACAAAAATTATTAATAATATTTAATATTTTCTATTTTTTTGTGAGATTTAAGATAACTAAAAACAAATTGTAGAAAAATGTTCACTATTAAAAATAAATAATTTATAATTAAAAAAAAATATTACATTTGTCTAGTAAATAAAAAATTGGGTGAATATTTTTTTCACAAAATCATTACCTACAAGTTACTTCATTTAATAAATTATATAAGAATTTTATTAAAAATACAATTTTTTAAATTATTCTTCACATAATTAAATATGATGAAAATAAAATTATATCTTAAATTGCATTTAAAATGCAATTTTACACGACTGTTTTTTAAATAAAATACCGCCTCCTATCGTCAGATATGAAAAACAAAATACTGACTAATTTAATACAATATAATGTAAATTTTAATAATTTTAATGCACCTAATTTAATTCCTATTTAACTATAAATAATTTATGAAGTTGTTTTTTTTTTGTTAAAATTAATTTAAATTGTTGCATTTTTTACTACAGTAATTAATCACGATCGGCACTTCAATAATATATATCGTTGAAACAAAATAAAACACAAAATACGAGTAGTTATGGATGAGGGTCTCTTAGCAGTGAAAGTGAAGTGAAATATACATAAACGTGTATAATAGGGATATTCACGTTCAAGGTTAGCAAGTTTCACAATTGAATAATATGGTAACACTGTTATGTGCCAACAACAAAATGAATATGTATTCCAAAAATTTGTTGTTGTCTCTTTATAACAATCTATGTATGTCGGGTGCCGAGGTTGTTAAACATTACATTTTAATTCAAGCTTCAATGGCAATACTAGATTTTCTAACAATCGTTGGGTATGGAAAAATAAATTAGATAGGTGTTTAATGCTTTTCACTAAACCTTAAGGTGCCAGCTCCATTGTTCTTCTTCTATATATTTCTTCATTTCATCATTTCTTCATTGTTTTTCTATGTATTTCGGTTACCGAGGTTGATACGCGAGATCGTGTATATTCCTATTATGTCCACTTATATTACCATTTTTTTTTTTATTTTGGAGCTACGACACCCTAATCCATAGTTACTCGTATTTTGTCATTATATGCATTTTAAGAAAATTTAGGGAAATATTATGAACTTATGCCATGGGACACTACTTAAGAGTTTCTCATAAAAAACTTAAAAAGTTTGTTGCACTGTGGAATATAAATTTCTAAATTCACCTCTTTAAACCTCTTTAATATATATGATTGAATAATGACTAAAGCAGATTCTAATAGAAGTAATAAAATTTGTCTAAATAATAGGATAGATAGAATTATTGAAGTTAAAGATGTCCTGTATTACCTAATAAAGTTAATAATAAATGTCTAGCAATTATATTAGCA